CTCATTGTGGTTTTGTTTTGCATTTCCCTGATGACTACTGATGTTGAACATCTTTTCATGTGCCTATTGACTATTTGTATGCCTTCTTTGGAAAAAAGCCTGTTCAGATCTTCTCATGTTATAATCGAGAATTTGTATGTTGTTGAGTTTTGTGACTACTTTATACATTTGAACACTGATTTGCAAATATCTTCTCCAATTCGGTAGGTCCCCTTTTCATTTTATTGATTTCCTTCACTGTGCAGAAGCTTTTTAGTTTGATGTAGTCCCATTGGTTTACTTTTGCTTTTGTTTCCCTTGCCTTTGGAATCGTAGCCAAAAAATAAAATCACTAAGATCAATGTTGAGGAGCTTATCATCTATGTTTTCTTCAAGGAACTTTATGGTTTCAGGTCTTACATTTAAGTCTTTAATTCATTTTGAGTTATTTTTTGTCCATGGTGTAAGATAGTCGTCAGCTTCGTTCTTTTGTATGTGGTTGTTCAGTTTTTTCAGCATCGCTTTTTGAAGAGACTGTCCTTTCTGCATTGTATGTTCCTGGCTCCTTTGTCATAAATGAATTATCCATATATGTGTGCATTTATTTCTGAGCTCTCTATTCTGTTCCACTGATCTGTGTGTCTGTTTTTATGACAATACCACACACACACACACACACTTATAAGGATACTATTTCACTACATAAGCACCCCTTTTGTCTGGTTTAATGTTTTGTGCTCAGAATCCAATCTTATTAAGATCATGGTCTTGGCTTTATTTGTATTTATATTTGCTTGGTGTGCCTTTGCCCATTCTTTTATTCTAAAAGTTTTTGAATTAATATAGAGATGTTCTTACATACAATATAGATCTGAGTTTTAATTCACCCATTTTGAACACCTTTACTTATTTACATGTGCATTTACAATAATTAATAGTCTACACATGTTTGTCTTAGTGCTGGCATATTATTTTATGTTTTCGATTCTCGTTACTTGACTCATAATCAAATTGTGGCACAGCTCCTCCTAAAGTTACGTTCACTTGCCTCTGAGACCCTCCTCCCCTTTCCTGCTCTCTTGGTTTATCTCCCATCTCACTGGTTAGCTCTTCCATAGCTCCTTTGCTTTTTCTCCTCTATCTCAACTCCTTACTACTGGAGCTAAGAATTAGGGCTCAGTCCTTGGTCCTCTTCTCTTCTCTAACTGCACACGCATCTCTGGTGAACCCATACCGTCTCATGGCTTCAAATACCATCTCTGGGCCGATAACTTGAAAATTCATACCTTCAGCTGCAACCTCTCTCCTGAATGCCATGGGCTTATATTCCAGCTCAGATTTCCAAAGGGCACCTCAAACTCAGTGTGTTCAACACAGGATCCCTCATTTTCCTCCAGACCTGCTCCTCCCTTCCCTGCCCCAGTGAACGCAATGCTGTATCTTGACTCCAGTCTTTCTCTCATACTTTATATCCGATATGTCATCAATGAACTCTACTCTCAAAATACTTCTAGAATCTGCTTCTCACCACTTCACTGCTGCCACCCTGTTATGGTCCACCTCTTGCCTCAGTTGTTGCGGTCGCGCACTCACCTGTTCCTTTGCTGTGTATTCTCAACACAGGAGTCCGAGTGGTCCTGCCAGGTGAGAATGAGACAGCGCCCCTCATCTGCTCAGAACACCTCCATGGCTCCCCACTTCTTTTAGAATAAAGGCTAACTGAGGAAACCTATTAATGCAATTTACTCTCACTAAGAAAAAAAATCAAATGAGTATCTCCATAGACGATAAAAAGGCATAAAACAAACTTCAGCATTCACCCTTAACAAATAAAAAACCTTAAGTAAAATAAGAATTCATGGATTCTTCCTTAATGATAACATATATTTATTTCAAATCCAAAGTCAAACTCCTACTTGCTGAGTAAACGTCAGAACTATTTCCTTCATGTCAGAAACATGATAAAAAAGGAGGGAAAATTATAATTATTTTCAGATTTTGTAATGGTTAACTTAGAAGTCCTAAGGGAATAAACCACTATAAACTGTAAAAGATTTTATTCAGCATGTACAATTAATATGCCAAAATTGATGTTCATATAACAGGCAAGCAGAAGCTATCATGGAAGAAAATGTCTTCTTTACACTGGTAACGAGGAAGGTAAACTATCTAGGGATAACCTTTATAAGAAATGGGCAGGATTTATGTGAAAATATGCCAGCTCGAGGGGTTGGAAGCCTAAGAATACAGCAGGCTCTCCAGTTAGATGCACTCACTTGAATCAGGTTGGTGGAAGTTAGGAAACTGTTTTCCTGTGGCTTCTGGCCCTGAAGATGGTGGCTTCTTCACAGCAAGTTCCAGTTTTTATTCTCAAGCTTTCCCTGGGTGTCAAAAGCAGTGGTTGTTGTGGCAACTTCCTGATGTCACTCTGAACTCCTTGGGTCATGTGTCAAGTTGTCCACCCTCCACAGCCAGGCAATGGCTGTGAGTCCAGCCCAGGTAGGCACACATTTGGTATTGGAAGGGGCTGCAGGAATCTGTCTCTCAAGCTAGGAATCTGGGGTTGGATCTGACCTGGCTAGGTCTGAAGACAATGGTGACTTTCTGACCAATGGAAAATGATATACTATGAATCTAAGGCATGCAGTGGGAAGACTTACGTAAATGATCACCTGCAGTCACCTGGAGTGAACAGTTGCCTGAAGCCACTAGGCAGTTATGATGGGAATGAGGGATTTAAGAACTGTCAGAGTGGGTGTTTCTGACTGCACTCTGGTCTGGTGGGTGTTTTAAAGGAAGAAAATTATGTACATTGAGGAAGTCCAAAAATACAGTAGAAAACTTGATATATAAAAGTGATGGTATTTAAAATCAGCAGGGGAGAGATGGATTATTAAGTGAATGAAGATGAGCAAATTTGTAGCTATCAAGACAGAAAGTAAAGTTGGACCCCTTCACTTAACTCACATCAAAACAAATTCTGGATTGGTCAAATTTTAAAAGGAAAAAAAATAAACAGTAAAAAGAAACCATAGATGGGTTTTCAAAGTAATTTCAGAGAGGTGAAGGTGTTTTTAAAGTATGATACAACCTAGAATTAGTAAGCAAAGGAAATCTTGGAAAAATTGACCATTTAGAAATGGAAAAGGGCCCTGACCCATTGTGGCTCAGGTGGTTGGGCATAGTTCCACAAAACGAAAGGTTAGAGGTTTGATTCCCAGTCAGGGCATGTGCCTGGTTTGCGGGTTTGGTCCCTGGTCTGGGCGGGTACAGAAGGCAACCAATAGATGTTTGTCTCTCGCGTTGATGTTTCTCTCCCTCTATATTTAGCTAGGTTTCAATTTAGATCTTCGTATCCATTGCATGAAAGAAAGTTAGAATCCTGGCACAGAGTTTCATGATATCTAAGACTTTGTGCATTAATACTTATTAAAATCTGTGTTCCAGAAGTGGATATGGTATGTACTGGCAGTTTTCTGTCCTGCACACAAAAATGTTTGAAAAAGTTATTATTTGTTGTTGTGTATCCAAATATCCACCTAATAAATTTATATTGATTTTTTAAAAAACCTAATAATAAGTGTCTTAACCTAGTGAAGCTAACAATTCGTCCTTTTTTCAGAAGAGAGAGAATTTCTAGACATATCCATGCAGGACTTACTAAAAGAGAGCCACAGGACAGCTGGTCAGTAAGGTTTGTGAGCTGCCACAGCAGACCCTCAAGTGTCTAGAAAGAGCAACAAATAGCTTCTGTTCCTTTCCCCTGGTCTTGAACCATATCTCCCTCAGTCCTGGGTCTTGAACCTGGGAGACTCAGAGAAGGGACAGGGAAATGGAAGAGCAGACCCGGCTTCTCTGGCATTACAGCACTTTGAGACACCCCTCTGGGCTGAGATGGATGTATGGAGAAAGGGTTCATTCATTGTTTTCCTTCATTCCACTAAGTTAGTGCTTGCCTACTGTGGATCTAATGCTGTTCCAGGCACTGGGGATATGTCAGGGGACAAAACTGACAAATATCCCTGCCCTTATTAAGTTTACATTCTAGGGAGAGACTGACAATGAACATAACATAAACTGTTAGAAGGTGATGAATGCAGTGGAAAAAAGACAGGAATGTGGGTAAGATAGAGAGATGGTGGGGTGGGGAGGACAACAGGTATTAAATAGGATGGTCAGAAAGGACCTCAGTGAGCAGGTGGGATTCCATTCCCTTGAGGAAGGGGAGGAAGCAAACCATCTCCATAATTAACAAAGAGCTTTTTAGGCCAAGGGACATAGCCAGGGCAAAGACCTTAAGGTGGCAGGGGAGAGGGTGCAGTTGATTTCTAGGACGAACAGGGAGACCAATGTAGCTGGGGTGCAGGAGAGAGGAGTGTGAAAGAGGCTGTCTGAGATATAAGGGATGATGGGCCCGGGAGACCCTGCAGGCCAGTGGAAGGAATTTGGCTTTTTGGGATACGAGGGTTAATAATTTAAATTAGGGGTTTCACCATCTGAAAGTCTGTTACAACGAAAATACTTGTTTTCACACTTGAAAGTAGCAAGAAAATTGGACTATGTACCTTAAGAGATGGAAAAAAGGAAAATGTTAAGGGGAACATTCCTCTCTTGGTCGCTCTACTAGGTCTTACCCGCAGTAAGTGCTACACAACAGCGACGCCCCGCCTCTCCCATTGTGGTCCCGCCCCCACTCGAAGTGACAGCCCAGCCAGGCTCCGCCTCTCCCCACCATGGTCCCGCCCTCCGTCTCGGAGTGAACGCCCAACGAGGCCTCGCCTATTCCGCCGTAATCCCACCCCCACTCAGAGTGACAGCCCAGAAGCTACGCCTCTCCCTTTCTACAGACACTCCGCAAGACTAGCCAGCTAGGCTAGTCCCTCATTTCTCCGGAGCCGACCCAGTCCTCGCCGGAAGCCACACCTCGCTCAACCTCGACCCAGTTCGGTGCGACGCGCCGCCAGGTCCCGCCTCTCCCACCATGGTCCCGCCCCCGCCTGCGGGTAGTCGCCGCTAGGCGCCGCCGCGCCCGCCGCGCCGGCCCCGCCGGCCCCTCCCGCCCCGCCGCTCCGGCCGGCCCCGCCTCGTGCGTCCGCTCGCCGGGCTCCCGGTCTCGCCGGCTCTCGGGCCCGCCCCTAAGACGTGGAGCGCCGCGGCTGCCGGTGAGTGGGGGAGGGCACCTCGGAGCCCCTTGCTCTCCGCAGGGTAGAGCCCGGGTCCGAGCGGGTTGCTGAGCCCGGGATGTCGGGAGGCGGTGGATCGCGTCGAGGGACGCCTCCGGGCCGCTCTCTTCCTCCCGGGGTACCTCCAGTGCTGGCGATCCTAGAAATGGGGAAGTGTGTTGGGGGGTGTTCAGGTGGGGAGAGGAAAGGGTGAAGGTGTTGGGGAGTGGCCGTCACACCTGGAGGTTGGAGACAGCCCCGATTTGGGGAGGAGATAGGAGTCTGGGGATGGAGGGTTGAGTAATGGAATGGAAGAAAGGTGGTGAGGCCGAAATCTGGGGCTGGTGGGTTCAAGGTGGGGGATTATGACGGGAGGGAGGTTCAGTACTTTGGGTCGGGTGGTCGTGAGTGGGGTGGGGAAAACGGCGAAGCCTAGTGAAGGGCGTTTTTAGGAAGGACCAGCTCAGAGAGACCCACGATTTATGTTTCCCCGGACCCTGTTCGGAGGGAACTCGGGAGGGCTAGGGAATCTCAGAACGGGTGTGGCCCGAGCGAACTCGCAGGGCGATGCTCTTTCACACCGAGTGATCGGATGGCCAGGTTTCTGACGGGGACACAGCGTACAGTTTAAATAATAGATGCAAGTCAGGGTCAGTGCCTGGGAAACGAGAGAAATGAGGATGGCATGGGGTCCTCCTGCCGGCTGCTCTAATTTTCCTGGTCCCTCACAGAGCTCGCACTGGTGTGCGCTGTCTGCTGTGAACGCTATTTGAGCAGATGGGACAGTGGATCCTGGAGGGAGGTCGTGGATTTTGGAAGTACAGCTGAGGTTTATTCATACTCAAAACACAGTTGTAGCACATTCACTTAAATCCTGCGGAGTTGTGATTTTGAAAAATCTAATCCTATGGGTTTTAAAAATTTAGATCTTTATCATCTGGCTACTTTCAATTTTAAGTCATAGTAACCTAGAGGACTACATGTTTTCTAAGGGACATTCTGTGAGTATGACAAACAGTTTTGAATTAACTATGAAAAGGAGACCATGTCTATTCGGACCAGCTGCTGCTGAAAGAATCATAGAACTGCAGATGAAGAATGACATTTAAAAGATCTAAGCTAATGGAAAGGCCTGGTAAATTGGAAAGTGTGCACTTAAAAAAATCCAGTGAAACTTTTTTATTTCACTGTAGAAAACTTGGAAGGTAGAGAAATATATAGGATGAAAATGAAAACCCTGAGTAATGTCACCAACCCTATTAACATTTTGCCACAATTCTCAATCCTTTTTGTATTTTTTGTGTATTTAAATGTACATAATACTTAATTGGGAACATATTACATATTTCATTGTATTTTGCAGTTTCCTCATTTGTCATTTTTCTGCATCATTAAAAACTCTCCTTATGAATCTTTTTAAATTGTATGATACATAGCCCATTAGTCGTATGGATTGATTATTTATCACATGTTAAGAGTTCAACTGTATGGCAATTCATGTGCTCAGAGGTGAGAGTCATTGTTGCTCCAGGTTTTCAGACATTAGCCAGCCAGAAGGATCAAAATTTTGTTAGTGTCTGGGGCTATGACAGTAGACACATTCTTGTCTTGCCTCACTGGTCACTCCATGCCAGACCCAGCTGAGTGACTCTGTGCAGAGGTGGCCTTCTGTCTGCACAGTGTCCCGTCAGGCCTGGGCTGCTGTGGCCAGGCCGTCTTCAGTGTGCCGTGTCTCCTACAACTTCCTGTTGAGTCCTAAGGTCACCAGGTTCCTGATACGCTCCTCAGGGAATAGTCCCCACCACTTCCCTACTTTGTGGTTGTCACTGAGAAACTCTAGGGAGGGTGGGTGTGTGCGGTTCTGGTTTTCCACTCTCATATCTGCCCATCTCTTGTGTAACCAAGAGGCAGCTGCCCCACGTCCCAAGGTGGGAGTGTCCCACAATTGCTCTCAAGGTTAACTGCCTGTCAAAGGCTCGAGAGGGTGCCCCTAAGTTGTCTCTAGAGGAGTCCTGTCCCTCTTCTTGCCCTGGCCATTGAAATGACAACTTTCCTCATAAGGAGATTCCTCTCATCCTCCAGTTTGATCTGGCCCTTCATTTTTCTCTCACTGACATGTCCTTATTCTGTTTGATGACTGGGAATAATTTTGTAATTTTACTTCATGTTTCTCCTTGAGTCTGAAATAAGTTGATTCCTAAAGACAGCCTTGGGCATTTTCTTGTTAGCTTTTGAATTGATGACAATTCCACTGATTTTCCCCCCTTTTACCAAAACTCAGGAAGAGAGCCATTAGTACTGTCTTGTTCCCTGATAAAATATGCACATAAACCACCCCCACTGCCACTCCCCCCACGGTGGAACTCACCGTGTGTTTCTCTTCATGCGTTTCAGTCACCCTGGTCAGGATTTACTTCTTACTGTAGTCAGATGATTCCAGTAGCAATTGTAAAAGCCACGTGAGTCCAGTAATCCAGTTCCTTTGTAGATTTCTATTTGGCCCTGTATGCAGTTCAACCCGTGATCATGGAGAACAGAATTTGGGATGGCTGTCTACTGACCCCGTGCCCCGGGCCGGGGTGGAAGCTCGCTGCTCCGTGCCGCCCGGTCACTCCTGGCTGCTGTCCTGGCTGGCAGTCTGGGTAAAAGTGGGAAACTGGCTGTGGTAGCTGACATCATTCTCCCCTCCAGTGCCCAAGAAGTCGGTATATGTTGAACGTGCTTGTTTTTAGATTGTCCCCAATTGAAACCACGAGGCCCTTTTCTGTACCCACACTTAAAGCCCTAATGTGCCCCCCATCTGGTCTTGGGATCAGTGCTTGTCCGGTACGCATAATGACGGTGGAGCAAGCTCCCTGTAAGACCCTCCGGAAAAGTAGATTGCAGAACTCAGCTTATGCCACGGCTGCCATAAGGCTTCTCATGGCCATCATCTTACACTCGACATTCATGTCACTGGAGAAGTGGGACTGGAGCAGGCCTGGGTTCCACCGCAGCGAACTGCAGAGTGCAGGTGTGCCGGACTGCGCCCCGCTGCATGCCCAACACACGGGGCAGGCATCTCCCAGGGACGGGGCGTCCCCAGAGGTTTCCTGGACAGTGACAGAGTTTCCTGAGCAGAGGGCACAGGAAGAAGGGCTCAGGGTTACAGGGAGAGGAAGAAGAGAGCGCAGGTGGTGTAAGGGGATTCCTGCCTCATAGTTACCTGGATTGTCAGTACACTGTGGCCCAAGGGATGGCCCAGCCTGGTAACAAGTGACCTGTCATCATTGTGTAAAAATGCCCCATTTTCTGCACCTGGCCCAGAACTGGGTTCTCTCCATCTTTCAACTGTAGCAAATCTGAAAAGGATAAAGTATCTGGTTTTCACTCTTGCATTTCTTTTATTGGTAAATTTGAACATCTTTTCAAATGTCTGTTGACCACTGGTATTTCTCCTCTTGTGACTTGTGATTTCAGTTTCTTATTTTTTTTGGTTGTTGAATTGTAAGAACTCTTTGTATATCAGATATTGTGACACTTTTATCTGTAATGTATTGGGAATCTTATTAAGGTTGTGCCTCTGTAGTGAAAATAGGGGTGAATATACTCTTCCAAATTCTTTTGAATTAGTACATTGCAGATGTGCTATTTTTACATTATGTATATGTATATATGTGTGTATGAATATGTATATACACATTGTAGAAAAAAGCTGTGTGATGACTTCTCAATTTATTTGTCAAATGCTGCATTTCCAGTTTAATATATATCCCCATAAGTATATCTAGCGCTTATGGATCCCCTCTCTCTCTGGTCTGGAGTTTGAACAAAATATTCATATTGGTTGCAATTAAAATGCTCTAATGGAAAAAAAAAATTTTGTGCCTCAAATAATGAAAGCCCGATCGTATCTCAAATGAGAAGAAATCAATAAGCACATATTTATTATGAGTCTCTAAATAGTGTTCCTATACGTGAACTGGGACCTGCTTTTAGTGTCTCAGAAAGATTGCTTTATGACCTGGTAATTATGAATAAGACAGGCCTTTTATTACATGAGGCAACGCATACGTGGTAGAAAACTTTGACCTTTGATGCCGTCCGCACTGCCCCGCTGACCCGTGTATTGCTCCCTTCACCCACCCTTCCCATCTCTGCTGTTTTTTCACACAGTTTATTCTCTCCGTGCCCCATATTAGAAACCCTGCAGCCATCCATTTGTCTCTCCAAGTTGAAGGCTGTCTGGTTCTCCTCCTCCCTTCCCAGAAAGTTAGTGCCCCCCCACCGCCACCCCTCTCCCTTGAGTTATTGCTCTTGTACTTAGCCCATGTGTTAGAATGATTTGATTGATGCCCATGTGCTTCCGCTAGGAGCCTGGGAGCTCCTCAGAAGGACGTTACAGACCTACTTACTTTTGTACCTCACACCCTGTCGCACTTGGCTCACAGTAAGCATGTGATTAATATTGATTGCATTTGATATTTTCATTTAAAAAATGAGGTGATGATGCTCATCTCATAGTCTCTTGGTAGATTAACATTTTTCCCAACGTTTTTTAAATGAAAAATTCTGGAAGTTCAGGGGAGTTGAAAGAATACCGCAGAGATCACCCATATTCTTGTTCCTTAAATTTACCTATTGGGAAGCACATCACTCTGATACACAGCCGGTCCTCTGCTCAGAAACCTTCGGCGACTCCTCCCTTGCCATTGGATCACATTAAACCGTAGCATTAATTTTCCTTAAGTGGTTGCAGCTTACAAAACATTACTGCTCCCCTCTGGTCCGGCCAGTCTTACTGTTCACCTACACTGTCCTGATTCTTGCTTCATTCACTTTATGCAGGTATTTCCCCTGCGTAGCATTGCTTTTTCCTTTGCTTGATCCCAGACTTCTACACATTAAGTGTTCTGTGTTCCATAGCTCTAATTGCCATCTGTTTTTCTTTCATTCTGTGTAACTACTGACTATATTACGAGGTGTTTGGAGATGAGTGCTAGGTCCTATTTTGACCTGGCTTCCATTACAGAGCCTAACAGGCTGACCTTTGATTTGGCTGGTGTCTTTAATAGTATTCCTGATATACTTGTAATATAATTTGAATGTAATATTCATTTATAATACCTGTGTTGCCCCAAACAAAACTTAATGTTCTTTTAAAGAAAAACAAAGGAGAGCCAGACAACCTGGATCTCTTTGACCAGCTTGCTCAAGATTTCCCCCAAAGAAAGATGTTCCATGGTGTTGGTCGCTCTTTTTGTGATTGTTCCCAGGAATTGATTTGTACTTGTCCTTTGGAGTCATTAAAACTTAACACCAAATACAAAGTTAGAACAAATAAGTCTGAAGTCCAAAAATCACCCCTGCTGAGGATCACTGGGTTAGAGAGATTCACATGCAAACCATTGTACAGAGAGGCCGTTAAATCTTAGTGACTGATACCGCTTGTGGGTCTCCAAGTTGACTCTTGTGTTTTAAGCTTGGTAACAGAGATTAAGGCAATATCCCTGAGCCAGGTAGGGAAAGTGGGAGAGAAAGCTGATGCTAGGAGATCAGCTCTGTACTGAAACATGAAGTTGGACTGAGTCTGCTCCCTGCTCATCACAAATTAGTGACTCCCAGTATTTATTGGACAGTGCCCAGTTCCTTTGTAATCAGGGGCCCTTGTCAGTTACCAGCTCCTTGCCATCCTCCCTCCCCGCTCACATTGATACTGCTCCAGCCATACATAGCTGCTTTTGCTTCTCTGAGTCTGTTGGCTATTTTCGATCATTATTTTGTGGGGCGGTACTATGTCCTCTGCTTAGAATGCCGTCCGTTGTCCGTGTGGTGAACTGCTATTCGTTCTTCTAAATCTTGTTCAGGTGTCCCATCCTTCATAAATACTTTCTTAATCCTCTTGTATGAGAGTCCATTTTACACTGTTACCTTTCTGTTTCCTGAATGTCCCTCCTGTGGTATTCCGAGCTGGAAGTGGATGGTGTTCTCTCATCTTTGTAGAGACCCTGGCTCACCCAGGTGTGCTTGAACCATTAGTTGAACCTGTCATATAACCCATCTGGATCATGAGAAATTCTGCTTTATCTCAGAAGCCAGAATTTAGGAATAATTAAGAGAAAATAACAGCCGTGTCTGGTATGGTCCAGTGGATTGAGCGCCTGTCTGCGAACCAAACAGTTACCGGTTGGATTCCTAGTCTAGGACACATGCCTGGGTTGTGGGCCAGGTTCCTAGTTGGGGGTGCATGAGAGGGAACCACACATTGATATTTCTTTGCCTCTCTGTCTTTCTCCTCTTCCTCTCTCTAAAAATAGATAAGTAAAATCTTTTTAAAAAAAGAGAAAATACAAATACAGTTTACATATCTCATTTTCCATTCTAACCCATGTTTGCTTTTTATTTTATTTTAATTTTCAGGAAGTTTGCCAAAGATGAAAGTGACCTTGTCAGCTTTGGACACTTGTGAGAGTTCTTTCACGCCTTTGGTAGTCATAGAACTTGCTCAGGATGTCAAAGAGGAAACCAGAGAGTGGCTGAAAAACAGAATTGTCACTAAGAAGAAAGATGGAGGTGAGTAAAATAGATGTTACTCAGACTTAGTAATGCTCAGTGACTAAAACTGTATTTTCAGGTGTGTTTTACATTTTTTTCATAGATATATATCTACAATTAATGTCCACTTCTTTGGTCTTTATTACTTATCTAGGACTTAAAAGGAGGTCTTAGATCAACATTAGACGTCATTCATTTGTAAGTCTTCATTAGTTTGTAAGCAACATGAGTGATTTTTTTCATAGCTACAGTGCTTGGTGCATTGTAGGTGCTTAATAAATATTTGTCAAGTGAATCCATGAGTGTTCGCTGAGTGTTCTTTGTGTGCCGGTTATGGAGCTTAGGGAGAGAGAAGTACCATCAGGGAAAGGAGACTGAGTGCCTGATCCCGGAAACTGAAGTAGCAGAATATAGAAGCTAGAGAAAGAGCTGCTGCAAAGCAGTTCATGATACGTAGCCATGAACCCTATTTATAAGTGTTACACGAGTCAAGGAAAGGAGGAGGTGCTACTTAGTGATGCTTCTCAGGGTGGTTAAGGGATGATTTTGTAGAAGCCAAAGTTTGGTCCTCTCCTGAAGGGCAAGCAAAAATGGCTTTAGGTCTGGGTGGAGGACGTTGGACATCAGCAGACCCTTCGTAAAACTACGCAGAGCAACACCTAAGACTTCACGAGGTCGTCATACACTGCACAGAATTTACCGTTATTCTGCCGTGTATAATGTGCTCCTGTGTATAATGTGTTCCCACGTTTTTGGCCCAAACTTTCAGGAAAGAAATCTTTCGTTTTAATTTTTTAATTCAGTTATTTATTTCTTTGTATGTAGAAACAAAACCAATGATCATATTCGAGGGCATTATTTTGCATATGGATATTGTTATTGCTTTCTAGAGTTACACTTTTAATACATAAGCATGAGTAAAAGAATTAAAAACATTTTCATAGATACAGAATTAGTACTGCCTATGTATAATGTGCATCCTTACTTTTCTCTCAAAAATTTGGGCAAAAAAGTGCACATTATACATGGCAAAATACGGTAAATACTTTTTTTTAAAAAGATGGTGAGCATAAACTGAAATGCTTTTTTAAAAATAAAACTTTCAGGGGAAGGATTGAAGGTGGGAGGTGGGGGTGGGTGGGGCAGGGAAAAGTGGTAGCCCGAAAATGGTGACTAATGTACTTGAACAATAAAAAAAAATTGAAAAAAGAAAAATGGAAAAAAAAAACCCGTTCAATCAAAACCTGTTTCCAAATAACTGAACCAAAAATAAACTTAAATATAACAGTTCCTGCTTGCTGAAACCTAATGTGCTTCACTGGACTGGAGTCACTTCTTTAAAAGTCCTGTGATGTGAGGACGTTTGTTGTGTCTTTGAGCGAGAGGCTCCCACGCATGCCCAGGCTGCTTCTCTGCTCATTGGGTGGCTTTAGCAGGAACACAACGGGCTGCGGAGTTGGTGGCAAAAGGTAACAAGGGGGACAGAACTGAATTGGCTGAGATCTATTTGAAGAAATAGTTAGATCCTCATATCCCTTCCGTATTGTACTACCCAGCAGGGGACTCTGCTTATCATTCTCTGGAGAGGGCCAGATGCCTAGGTTCTTGGCCTGGGGCGCAGTGCAAAGTTGGAAACAGAGATTCTGTACTGAAAATGCAGTGACAACTGACTACTGTTACCCCTCCCCTCCACCCCACAGCGTCATGCCTAACTTACTGCCCAAAATGCTGGCAGCTCGAGTCAAATCCTCTTGGAGAGACTGAATAATCTCTCTTAGGGGCAGAAATCAGAGAAGAGCCTGTGAAAAACGAACTGGCCAGATTACCTTGCATCAGAAACCATCTTTGATGAGCACCATCTAAACCTACAGAACCTGTTCCGCCTCCTAGAACTTCTTTCTTAAACTGTAGCGTACAACAAAAGGTCACCAAACGTCTGGGGAAAATCTCTACAAGGGAGAGAAAGCTAAAACTAAACAGAAAAAAGCAGCAAACTGTAGAAGAAGAAAACCAAAAGAGAATTTGAATCTCATTTCTCAGAAGTATGAGAAGATAGAACATCTATGAATCAAAGTAGGATATTATAAGATAATCACTTAGGAGAAAAGCAGCTCTTACAAAGTGAAAATAGGAAAGCAAAATTTAAAAAAACTCAGTAGAAGAGTTAGAGGATAATTTTGATAAAAGCATTCCAGGAAATAGAGGAAAAAGGTAAAGAATTGGAAAATATGCGGGAAAAATATAAAGAAATTAGAGGACTCGTCTAGAAGGTACACATCCGAATAAAAGTATATCTAGAAAGAGAACAGGAAAAGGAGAGAAATAAATTATCAAAGAAAAACTCGATGCCAGGCTTTTTTAGATCGAAAGGGCTCACGCAGTGCCCTGCACGGTGGATGAGAATGGCACATCATTGGAAGTTTCAGAAGCCGGTGGATGAAGAACTTCCGTAAAAACTTCCAGAAAATACAAAATAGGTCACATATAAAGGATCAGACTTCTTAACAGAAACCTTGGAAGCTAGAAGGAAGTGGTGTACTATCTTCACTTCTGAAGGAAAATGCTTTCAATCTAGAATTCTGAGCCCACCCAGCTGCCTACACGACATGAGGACAGAGTGAAGAGAGACGTCTCTAAAATGATGTTGACAGGGAATCATGTCAGTGGGTCGAGGGAAGACAAACAATTGGGAGACATCTGGGGGGACTGAAGTATTGATACGTATCTCATAAGCTAAGCAAATGATAAAACATGTCAGTTAATTTTGGGGGAAATGGACAGTTGTAGGAAAGGAAAACCCTAATAAAGAAAATGCTATTGATGAAACAAAAAGGAAACAGCTATAACTGCTGTGCGGATGAGGTATGGGAGTGGTGGATGGAAATGGTGGAGGTTCGGAGTGCGGGTTGGGGAAAAGAGCTAAACACCCATCTGCCAAGGCCTCAAACAGAAAGGAAAAGCTCTCTAAGCATCTTGTTTGGTCACATGAAAACAAATACCAAAGCAATCACCTGAACAATTTGAAGTCTTGGCAGATGTAAATTGGGGGAGGGACACGGGGACTGCTCTTTTTCAAAATAAGACGCTGACCAAGGGTTCTCTTTGAAGGGATACTCTCTCAGAAGTGCCTGAGAGGGCCTTTCCGCCATTCTCACTGTGTCAGCGTGCGCCTTGCAGGCAAGAGCCACTAAGATGGGACTTGATACACAGAGGCTCATGGAGGGAAACATTTATTGACAAAAACGAGAAGGGGAGAAGGAGCAGGAGCAGGCACTGAGAGCCTTCAGACCGAGGGGCATCCGATGCTCGTGAAGGGAGAGAGGGGAGGAAGGAGGCATGAACAGGAGGCGCCTCGGGCTACAGCATGGTTCTGAGAAGGGCCAGCTCACGGTGAGCGGGAATGGTCTCCTGCCAGCGTCCTGCATGGCCGCCCACGGCGGGGGGCCGCTGGGGGAGCTGGCCTGGGTGTGAGGGTGCTTTGTCCAGAGGAGGGCCGTGGGAGCTGTCAGCGGCCCGCTCCCCGCCACAGAGCCTCCTGAAGGCAGGTCTGCGGGGGTGGGGCACTTCTGAGGCTGCTGTACTCACCAACCTATTTTTTTTTTGTTACCAAACTTTGATCTTTGCAGTGTGAGAAGTGAAAAATAGCATATTGGCGTCATTTTTGCATTTATCTAAATATGAATGAGGCTAAGGATTTTATATTTACGAGCCATTTGTGTTTTCTGTAAACTGAATATATCTTTAATTGATTTTTTATTAAAGTCTTTAATACCTCTAATAAATTACCTAAATAATACATTAATCTTAATATATCAATATTAACCTATTTGGTAAGTGAAATAATAGATTCCGCTCATTATCCTGTTACCATCTGATTAGTATTTCGTAATTCCCATCAATCCTCTCTAGAGGGTAAATAGTAGAGAAATACCTTAAAAAGTTTGATATAGGTAGAAGTAAAAAATTAGGAAAAATTCCTTTTATCATAATCTTTTAATAATTGCATGTACAAGATCAAGACAACATCTAATCTTTATTTATTTATTTATATTTAGAGAGAGGGAAGGAGGGAGAAAGAGAGGGAGTATAACATTGATGTGCGAGAGATACATTGATCAGTTGTCTCTCGTACGCCCCCAGGTGGGAATCTGGCCTGCAACCTGGGCATGTGCACTGGGAATCTAACTGTTGATCTTTCGGTTCACAGGCTGGCACTCAGTCCACTGAGCCACACCAGCCAGGGCTTTAATGTCTATTCTTAATGTTTGGAAACCTAGTTAAGAAGATGATTATTAAACCTAATTCAACATAGATACTTACAGGAAAAAATCATTGAAAATTATATTGCTCTTTATTTATTATTTAACATTCACACAATGTTATAATTCAGTGTAAATTAGAAACAATATTCTTATCCTGCATACTTAGTGCAAATTAATACCTAGAACTAGTCAATATTGAATTCTTGTCTCATATCTACTTCAAATTTGACTAACTGACAAGCCACTTGCTGTATTTTCCATTTCTGGCTTTTATTTCAAAAAACTCTAAAGAACTTACCATCCCCACCTTACTTATATTTCCTGTTCATTTGGAAGACGGGTTTAAACTGTTAAGACAATTTATTTTTTTTCTACCAAACTAGAGACACATCATTCATTTAGAAGGTTTTCATTTTTGAAACTTTTACGTTTGTCTCTTTCTAAGATTGTGCTCACCTTTTGTTTTCGAAGGTGCGCAGTTGTTATTCAGACCCTTGTTAAATAAATATGAGAAAGAAACGGTGGAAAATCAGAACTTGTATCTCGTGGGCGCCTCCAGCATTAGATTGCTGCTGGGGGCGGAAGCCGTGGGGCTGGTGAAGGAATGCCACGATAACACCATGAGGGCCTTCACCTACGGGACGCGGCACAACTTCAAAGGCTTCGACGGTGAGTCCCAGCACGGTGTCTGCAGGGTCAGCTCCTCAACGAGAAGTTTTCAATGACTAAGTCTTTTCAGTAAAGAGCCAACAGGCAAACAGGAAATAATGACGGCCGTGCGGGCCATACGCTTGCTCCCAGTCGTTCAGCACAGCCATTGTAGAAAGCAACAGCAGCCTTAGACATTGGGTGGGGAGTATAAGTATAATTTTACTTATGAAACCAGGTGATGGGCCAGATTTGGCCCAGGGGCCTTGCTTTCCCACCCTGGAATAGAGTAACATCAATTAGGATGACATACAATTAAATTATTCTACTGTAATTCTTACAATGGTGAATAGTCAGTCACTGGCTTTATATAGCAAAGTCTCATACAAAATAGAGCGGCAGTTCAGTGTCTTAGAATCCCCGTTTCCTGGTGGGTAACTGGTTCTCTTCTGGCCTCCAAAGGAACTCCAGGAGAGAATGGTTTCTGGAAGGACTGAGAAGCCGGTGGCCCTGACAGAATGGGAGTTTATATTAGATTTGATTCTCATCGATGGGCCCCTCAGGGCATTCAGAGATCGAAGATGTGCTTCGACTTCTTCAGACTCACTCACTCTGGGTTTTTCTTTTTTATCTTAGTGAATAAATAATGAAGGTGAAATTCACCTCATTTAAGAGGAGTTACCTGTCAAAAATGCTATTTTCATCTCAGACTTTGTTCTCCCTTGTTTATGGGATGAATGTTCAACTGCAGAAGGGAATGGCCTGGACTTGTGAGTTTGAAGGAGAATTTCCACATGGGCCAACTTCTGTTCCATCCCTAGTTACAGATTGTTAGGATTGGAGACCATACTGCCTTCTGCTCGGTGGGGTTGATGAGATCAAGCAGGTGTCTGCCATTGGATGTTTGGGTCAAGTTATATAAAAACTCATACAATGATTGAAGAATTGTATTATGTGAAGACATAACAGAATATTTTTATTCTTATCAAGTATCTAAGGAGCTTTATGTTCTGTTAAATTTACCAGTTTTATACTTTGCTTGCTCCTTATATTAATTATTTATTGTGTATATCATTATTTCTATAACCCCAAGGTATTTGACTATTATTAACCTTAGTTTGGCTATTACTGAGAAGATAACTGGAAATTTTTTGTTCTATTTTAGATAACAATGATGATTTTCTCACAATGGCAGAATGTCAGTTCATTATCAAACACGAACTTGAAAATCTCAGAGCCAGAGATGAAAAAATGATCCCTGGTTACCCCCAGGCGAAGTTGTATCCAGGAAAATCATTATGTAAGTGGTTATGTTAACCTGCTTTATGAATATACATTCTAATGCAATTTATTCTTTTTAGCAAACATAAAAAAACACGTTACCGAGGCTTTATTTTTTCCCTCTTACTGAGAAACTTTCACAACTTTACAGTAATTTACTTTTCTCACGAACATATCTTTTGCCTTTAGAGCTGCCTTATATTGCGTGTTTTAGATCAATATATTTGTCCTACTTGGGTTGCTGCTTCTTATTATCAAGGTCTCAGTGCTCAGCATGAAGCTCAGTGTAAACACATGTACGTATTACTCAGTTAAAATAAACAAAGTTTACTCTAGGCTCAGACATTGTACGAGAATGAAAATCTGGGGGGGAATCAGAAGGGGAGGCCTGGGCTTTCCCTGGAGCATCCCTTCCGTCTCCCCTCGTCTCACTGGGCGGGAACACGTGCAGACAGAGAGGCGTAGGAAGAGTCACAGGTGACAATGCCTGAGTGGAAAGCAGCAGGTAGCAACTTTCTCATTTTCTGTAATTCCGTGGGGATGAGCATAGTAGTGTGCAGAATGGAAGTGCTTACTACAAAGTGTAATTCCAAGCTCAGATCGTGGCAGGGCCTCAGAGCCTTTTTGCTGCCTAAAATACACTTTAAACATGTGAGCTTCTGTGTCCCCTCCGCTCCTTCCCTCCCTCATTTCCTCTCTTTCTTTTTTTATAATAAATATAAAAACAATAAAATCATCGAAATCATGGCCATTTGAAAATTTTTTATACCATCTGAGATAAGAATCATGTGAAGTTGCCAAGTCTGGATTTTAAAATTCTGCATTATTCTCTTCCTTTATGTATTTAAATGCCTCTAAAAATGCCATCATGCATTTTGGATCGTTTTAATTTTATAATCATAATAATTTGTTGAAGAAGAAATGGAATATGCATAATTATAAACTGAACTATTTTCAGAGCGTAAATTAGAAAACTTAGAGTAACTTAAAGTCCTAGAGTTTCATTAAGTTTAATCCACAGCAATAAGTGGAAAAGCTTAATTTTACCTTTAAGTTTTGTGGGAGCCACTCCCCCCCAGGGAGGCCTCTTCTCTGAAGCCGATGGGGAGGAGCGATGGCAACCTGGCCTGTGCTGTCCCCAGCCATCCTTTGAGAGCTGGCCGGGACTTTCATGAGAAACTTCTCCATTGTCTTCAGTTTAATTTGATTTTCATTTTACACACAGCGGCTATCATTTTGCTCACCATGATGCTGTGTCTTGATAGAAAGCTTTCATTAAGTAGATAACATGGGTGTCGGGGTGAACATGACCGTGAGGCAGTTGGGCGGTGCCAGGAGGCGCGTGCCCCAGGGCTCTCCCCGCTCCCGTCGGACAGCATGCACTGCGCAGGCCGAGCACCTGGTCCCATGTGGCTCAGTTGTCACTGTGCCCCTTGGTGGGCATCCCGCCCGTATCTTCTGTGTGAGCTGAGGTCTCTTCGTAATCTTTGTACTCTCAGGCTCTGCCTTCTCCCCTTGATTCCTCGTAGATTATAGTTATGCAAGTAACTGAATGAAAGGTTTTCTTTAGAAAGAGGAATAAAGGAGCCAAGAACTGAGGTGTTAACTGTAGCCTCAGGGATGTTCTTTAGGTTAAAACTCTGTCTCAAAATGTCTATCCGATGATTGGTGGCATATGGCACACCTCATATTAGGTATGTTGCTATATTGTTATTCTTTTAGAATATTATGTTAATTTCCTCTGAATGTATTCTGTATACAAAAGGGTAGATTAGAGTGTCAGATATAATCTGTATTTTAAGATTATTAATTGTTCTCATAAAAACATTAGAGTAGATTTCAAGTAAATATTATGTAGCGGGCATGCACCTAAGACGATTAATCTACTGATGTATTTTTATATGCATGCTCTTGCTGGGTATACATATATATTAACACACATGTATACTGTGGCTACATACATATTTATAGTTTTTATATTAAGCAGCGATGAAAATAATACAGAAATACAAAGATGTATTTTGAAAACACAGGTATCCCCAGGAAACAGTTCTCCTTATTAAGACAAAAGTGTTCTGTTCACACGAAGGTGCTGGAGTCGGGCGGGCCTGGGAGGGGCCGCAGGAGCACAGCAGCGGTTGCGGGGGAGCCTCTCTCCCTGAGGGCGCCCTGCGTGCTCCTCGCCCCTCTGCTGGGGTTGATTCGGGGCGGCATGACCTGCCCCTCCCTGTTGCACAGAGACGCTGTAAGGAGTTCAGAGAGAGATTTTTGGTTTTATTTTTGAAATAAAAATCACATCACATTAGCCAAAGACAGAAGCAGTACTGTATTAGTATTGTTATTACATTATTTAATTTAGAGAGTTCGACTATAAGCCAGGTTACTTATAGTCCCCCTTAAATTAGATTTTGGATTGCTTAGCTGATTGTTAAGTGGCTGTAATAGGAATAACCCTAGTAGTTGCCAACAGATTATTCAGCATTCCTGAAGGAAGGAATCTTGGTGTAAGTTGTTCCTTTCTTTAAATAGGACTGAACAGCATCATATTTTCCTTTGAAGGTAAGGCTCATGTTAATTGCATTCTTAGCGCACATCAGAAGGTTGGAGGATTTTTAAAAAAAAAAACAAACCCTCTATTTTTAGAAGGTGAAACCAGAACCCTGCTTTTGGCATTGACGGTGAAGCGAAGCCCAGTAATTGAGGACCAGTGGCTTTATATTCTCTTCCCAGTTCCTATTTTTAGAAGTATCCAGGCTGGTTTTTATGTCTGCCTGGAAAGTCTTCTACAGTAGAATGGAGTCGTTTTTTAAAAAAAAGAAGTTAAAAATAGTAAAGTAATAATTTAGATGCTGTAGATCAGTTCAAAGTTTAAAAAAACTTGATGTACTAATTGAAAAGGCTAGTAATACAAAGAAAGAATAAGCTATAGCCATGCACCCCCAAATATGAGAGAAGAATCAGACCAGTTGTGGGCGACCAACTTCTACTCATATTAGCTAAGAAAAAAATATACTGAAATACTTGAGAATAAAAACATTTTAAAATGGATTTGATGACACCATAGACTGTTTTAACTTAAACTGTATACCTTTTCCAGTCATTAAGGAAGATTTCATCATGACCTTAGCTTTTAAAAGCTTTTTCCTGTATAGCTTACAGGAGATAGAATTGTAAGAAGAACTGTGTATTAGGAATTCTTTTCGACCTAGACTTTTTCCTCTGGTTAGTATCAGATATCTCCTCTTTATTATCTTCCCCCCCCGCCCCCCCGAAGAGGTTAGGTTTACTTTTAGATTGCTCTGAGGATTTTACGACAGGGCACCCGTTCTGAGAGCACTCGGCCTCTCTCTGTTCTACTATGTAGTGTTTCTACACTGAAAACTTAAATCGTGTTTTTCTTCCGACATTTATTTGCTGCTCCTTACTGAGGGGCCTGTTGACTGATGTTCCTAACTTTGGTGACTAGGTAGACAGGAGATAAGAGTTGAGCTGGTTAACCTTAGAGAGTTCGGAGCTTCCAGTGGATGAAAACAGCAAAGCATCCTTTTTTGATGCTGATTCCATCTTATAAGCATCCATAATCTTTAGGAGGCGGCACTCCTAGGAACTTGTGTGGAAAGTGCTCCATTTCCCCAAATACGGCACAAGGCACTGCATTCGAGTTCTCCATGTGTGCTGCACACACGTCCTCCTAAAGGCCATGCCAGTGAGTCCCTCTGTTAGGGACGAGAGAATGCTCCGTCTCAGTTATCGTTACTGGAGGGTATTGTCTTCGGCTAAATTGGTTGGCCTCTTTCAGATATGTGCATGAGTGTTAAAATCATACTTGCCAAATGACTGCTCAAAGTAGGAAGTCTTTATTTGGTTTGATTTTGATATTTGGTTTTTGTGAATGTAAGCCTTTGTTATCAGAAAAGATGAAAGTGATTGAAAATACTCAGTATCAAGAATAAAAGGAACAAAGCCATTTTCTTACTTTCACTGTACTGAGAGGATGGATTGGTAAAATTTTCCTAGGGTCAGTTTTGTAATATGTGTCCAAACCTAAAATACCTATTCTCTTGAGTCTAACAGTTCTACTTTTAAGTATATTCAATGAGGAAATAGTAGACAGGTGGGAAAGGGTATATATACAAGAATTTTAACGTTATTTATAATAGCAAAGGAAGGAAACAAATATTTTTCAAATTATTCAAGTTATTCAAATATTATAGAGAATTATAGCATTTCATACAAGAGAATATTATGATACTGTTAAAAAGGACATTTCATATTCTATTTATAATATATTGGCACTGACAGATTCATTATATATTATTACATGAGAAAAGATTACAGAAAAATGTATATAGAATAATCCCATTTTAAAATTATATATACTCATGAATGTATATTTTGAAGTCTGGTATGATACACTAAATTGCTGTTTACAATTATTTTGGGGAGAGAATAATTCTAATGTGTACATTTCTGCACAGTGTAAAGTTTTATATTGATTTGTATTGCTTTCATAGTCAGAGAAAACAGTAACGATCTTTGCCGTTCGGAAGAGCAGAAGCACACACCTGGGGAGTGGCGTGGGGGCGGGGTTCGAGCGGCCTTTGTGTAGCGCCCTCTCCCTGGAGAGCTTTTGTCGCACCCCATGGAGAGCGTCAGGAGCAACTTCAAATCCGTGTTACTAGTTTGGCACATTCTCCCCCTGCAGTGAGAAGACTGCTCACGTCCCGCATTGTGACCCAGGTGTTCCCCCTGCACGACAACGAAGCCCTGAAGAAGCTTGAGGACAGCTGGTATACTCGGTTCAGTTTAAAGTATCAGCCCGTAGGTAAGTGTCAGTCCCTGCTCTGCGGGAAGAGGAATCCCTGCCGATGAAAAAGCCACCGTCAGCAGTGGCGTCACCCGCCTTGGGCACATACTTAACGCTCTGCCAGCCCAGGCTCTGTGGCTGCATGTGGGAAGAAATGGGGGCAAGGGAACGAGATGGGTTCCAAGGCCTATGTGTTTACTTATAATACGATTTTAGATGGACTGAGTTACAGGCTCTCTCTAAATTTTACCAACGACACGGGCAGGTTAGTGTCCTTCACAAGTGCATGTCTGTCAGCGCTGGAGTAGAACAGACCTGATAAGAATTTAGTGGGACTGTGAATATTTTGTCTTTGAAACTTTCTCTTTCTTTAGAGCTAATCATTTGGAGTGTGTTCCATGGCAGTGCTAGAAGTTAGTGTCTAGAATATTGTTCTGTGATTTTGAATAATTTTTCTTCAGTGTATTGAAACATTTGCCATGACACTGATGAAAATTTTATCTTCAGGTATAGGGAGCAGGATACTATGGAGGGGAGTTGTCTTTGAAAAGAACACCTGTAGCTACAATATTAAAGTAGGAGATAAGTGAGGAGCATAAATTAAACCCCCAAATTACAATGTTTTATTGGCCATGACTGAATTTTCTTTAAAAAGATTTTATTTATTTTCAGAGAGAGGAGAAGGGAGGGAGAAAGAGAGGGAGAGGAGCATTGGTGTCTGAGAGACACTTCAATTTGGTTGCCTCTTACACGTCCCCAACTGGGCACCTGGCCTGCAACCCAGGCATGTGTCCTGACCAGGAATTGAACCGGCAACCTTTCAGTTCACAGGCCAGTGTTCAATCCACTGAGCCACACCAGCCAGGGCTATGACTGAATTTTAAATGAGGACCTTGGGGATTTGGGACAAACCCCTCAGTGATTTTTTCTTTAGGAAGAAGGCATCTGCCAGATGGGGAAATAAAGAGGAATTAGACCCAGGGTGCTGAGCAGGGCCTGGGCCCTACACCGCGGGAAGTGTCAGGTGTACAGTACAGATAAGTGGGGTCTTTGTTCTGCATAGAGGATGGGCTTACCGTCACACGCTGATTGGGAAATCATGGTGTTAAGTGATCCCCTCTTACAAAATGAATAAGCTTGCTTGAAATGATAAAAAAGTCTGGTGGTCTACACTTAAGGTCTTTCTTTTTTTTCCTTTCATTATAGACGGCATTCGTGGCTACTTTGGGGAAACAATCGCTCTTTACTTTGGATTTTTGGAGTACTTCACGTTTGCCTTGATCCCCATGGCGGTCATTGGGCTTCCTTACTACCTGTTCGTGTGGGAGGACTATGACAAGTACGTGATCTTCGCCTCATTCAACCTGATCTGGTCCACAGTGATCCTGGAAGTGTGGAAGCGTGGCTGCGCCAACATGACCTACAGGTGGGGGACACTGGTCATGAAGAGGCAGTTTGAGGAGCCCCGGCCAGGATTTCATGGGGTCCTGGGCATCAATTTCGTCACCGGCCGGGAGGAACCTCTCTACCCCAGCTACAAGAGGCAGCTGCGCATTTACCTGGTCTCTCTGCCGTTTGTGTGCCTCTGTCTCTACTTCTCCCTGTATGTCATGATGATTTACTTCGACATGGAGGCCTGGGCCTTGGATCTCCATGAGAACAGTGGGACCGAGTGGACCAGTGTCTTGCTCTACGTGCCCAGCATCATCTATGCCATTGTGATCGAGGTCATGAACCGCCTCTATCGGTATGCTGCCGAGTTTCTAACTTCCTGGGGTAAGGCTTGATGCTTTGTTTTTGTTGTCTATAAGAAATACTGCTTACACCATAAGATTCATGTAACTGCTACCTCGCTGAGCGGATAGATGGCGCTCTGGGCTCATTCTGGAGTCACAAGGAACAGTTCACAGGCTCTGGGAGCTCCCACAATCCCCAGATCACGGCTGTTGCAGTTCTTGTTTACTGTTAGTTGCTATGTTCTAGGTACCCTGTGAAGCACTTTGTCCCCCTATCTCATTTTCCCCTCCTTGGGACTCCGTGAAATAGACACATTGTACCATTTTATGAATAAAGATACTGAGACTTCACAAGGGTGAGACAGCAAATAGTAAGGGCCAAGCTAATCCGTACCTCTCTGTTCTAAACCTGAGCTCCGAATACTGTAGTGCTGTGTTTTATGCAAAGGGTCAAATAGATTGAATTATCTACCTGAAACTCTGGCCAAATGAACTGGGTCTAAGTATCTGAAAACCATTTGCCCAGGGGTGCAGGGTCCCGAGGGTGGCCATTGAGCTCAGTGAAGATGGGTGATCATTTTTGCATCTGCGGTGAAAGAGGAAGTTGGTTGTAGTTTAAAAGCAATCTTGATAGGCCATTCACTCTTTAACTTATTTATTAATTCAAACAAATAAACACATATGTTATTATCCTTAGGGAGAAGTCTAGGCCTTACCTTCATGGACCACAAAGACATTTTAAGTTATTTTTATTAGCCATTGAACAACAGCAGCTACCATTTAGTGAGTGCTTTTCTTTGCTGATGCTGGGCTAAGGTTTTGTACAATTTCTAACCCGGACAGCGACCTGGAGGAAGGTTTTGTAGGCTGAGTGTCAAGAGGTTAAATGACCAGCCCGGGTCAGACAGTGGCTGAGTAGCTGAGCTGGGTCTCAAATCCAGGTCAGCCTAACACTGCCTCTCTGTGCAAGACGACACTCCTCAGCAGCACCTTTTTGTTCTCTTGTCCCGCTGTTCCTGCACAGTGTCTCCTCCTTCCAGCTGAGGATGGAAATCTGAGTTCCACTTTCACTTAAGCTTTTCAAGCCACATGTCCAGAAACTGTCTTTAGTGACCTACTCCTCAGAGATTGCTGTTGGTTTACCATCACCACTCAACCAGAGTCTCTTTCTGGGGGATCACTTATCGATGCTTCCTATATTTCTGTGTTGGTGTAAGACTTTAAAAATAATTTCGGACTCAGTGATGTTGCCGTGCCCCGAAGTACATGCTCTAGCCTTTGTTCCTTCCCTGTCCAGTGCTCGGTGGGGCGCGGCAGCCGTGACGCACAGCCCGTCGTCTGGGGCCGAGGCCCTGCTGCTGGGCGTCCCATCTCGGCCACAGCGCCAGCCCCGCTCCCCTCGCCACGGTGCTCCCCCCCTGTTGCTTTCTTATCTGAGGGAACTCACCTCTCGTTTTTAATATTTTAGAGAACCACAGATTGGAGTCTGCCTATCAGAATCATCTAATTTTGAAAGTTTTAGTGGTAAGTACAGTTTTTATATACAAATTCATTTTCACTATAGAACGAAGGCATACCATTTAATATTAAGGAATATAAATATGAAGATGTGCTTCTAATTTCTCAGATGGTTAACATATTTTGTGCAAGTAGACAAGGATTGATTAATAGACATCTTTACATATATATTCAATAGTCTTTTAGTATAACTATGCATGTGATTTAAGACTTCAAAGGCAGAAATTAGTATTATAGCCAATTTCTATATATGTAAAAAGCTAAGTAACCACTTTATAGTCTTGTTTCTATTTTTTTTTTTGGTGACTTCTTTGAATGTTTACCTATTCAACAATTCCTCCAGTTACTGACAATCCATTCAGCGATGGAACGTTCAAGTATTTTTTTAAAGTTTTGGTGAAGAAATTTTTAGAAATCAAGAGGTTCCCAGCATGTTTTGATGGGTGGAAGGAGAGAGGAGGAGAGAAGGCATCGTGTAACTTGCTGGCCACGTGTGTAAAAGCTTGCACACTCTGCTTCTTTCCACCATTATTATAAATAATGAAGATACACCAGCTTGAAGGCACCTCACTTGTCAGGAGGCTGCGTCAGCCGCCTGTAACGTAACTGAGGATCGAGGCAGGTGCCCTGAAGAGGCCTCTGAACTTTGAACTGTAATCCCTTTCACCCAGTTCATGTACTTTACTCCCAAGCAAGGGACTCAGCCCCCACTTCAACAGTCTTTGTTTTCCTGTAGGTATCATTTTGAGAAGCTTATTTATCTGGTGTTGCAACCCTTAAAAGATTAAAAATCACCATTGGGAATGTGTTTAGGTTTCTGAAAGTAGGTACATTTATAGAAGCAAGAGCAGGCTTGGAAGTAGAAAGCCTGTCATAATAGATGCTAATAATTCAGCCGTTTTAGCAATTTGGACGCTAGTAAAGGGGCATGTGGCTGCGCGTATCTGAAAAGGCTCTGAGAGCCTCGTTCTAGCCTCATGAAATAATTGATATTCAAAATATTGATGCTGAATCAGCAAGGAAGTTACGTTCTCTGTTCTCTGGGAAAGAAAGCAGGGAACATGTAATGCATTAAAAACATCATTCAAATTGATTTTAATATGGAGCCTCTGTCCTTAGAGGTAGAACATTCCGCCTGTCTAGAAGAGTTCAGTTATTTGTGGGGCTTTATTATTCTGTGGCATTTCAGATACAATGTCAGGTGGCTGCCTTGTGAAGAGTCATATGTTAGAATCTGCTTGTATTTCCTAGGTCTCTCCCTTCCTTTTTAATCTTAGGGAGAGAGCCTTCCCCACTTTCCGGGGCTGTCGATTTCCGATTTCCGCCTGGTACTCTTCACAGCACCCCCACCCCTCCCCTGCGGCTGTGTCGATCTTACTGCCCCTCTCCAGCGACTCCCCTCCCTCACTACGGAGGAGCTCACAGTCACACTGCTAGCGGTCTTCTGTCTGGGGATGCTGCTAAACAGGAAGCAGCCAGCCTGGGGCTGGGAGGCAGAGAGGAAACCCAACAGGGCAGCCAGTAGCTGCAGACCCCCAAGCAGAGGAACTGCTTGAAGAAATGACACTTGTCAATGCGGAATCCCCACCCAGAACTGTGTGTCTGAACAAGGGCAGGGGGGTCTCAGGTCTGCGGTGACAGAGATGCTCCCCAGACCTGGCTGGTTGTCATGGCTGGCTTCTCTCGCTGGTGCCGCTCGTCCACCTAGGTGTGGCCCTGTGAGGTGAGGAGTCCCAGGTCCGCAGGCACAAAGAGGCTTCCGGGGCTGGGCTGCGTGTACGAGGGGGTGGAGGGGAGTCCTTCTTGCTGGTGCTGCCTGGCCACCCAGCACATCTCCAGGCGGCAGGGGAGTGTCAGGCCCGGCAGGGCGGAGAGGCGGAGAGCGGAACCCCTGGCAGCCTATTGTTAGTGGGGGTCCTGGTCAGTTCCACTGGGTTCATCTGCTGTTGTCAAGGTTCTAAGGGGGGTGAGCGGGGAACGAACCCACCAGGGCTTCCTGGGTTACCAGCGTGGAGGTGGGAACGGTGGGCCTGGGCCTTTGTAAGAACACAGAGGAAGCACAGGCACGCAGGGTGCGCCGGTGCTGCGCTGTCCCTCAGTTCCGGGCCCCAGGCCAGCTCGCTGCCTCCGAGGCCTCCTCTGGCTGCCTCTGCCACGTCCAGGGTTCGCAGACGTGCTTGCCGGGGAGGAGAAGGGAGAAATAAGTCTGCCATCTTGTCTGGACGGGAAGTGCCTCTTTACATTTTTAAATGCTGTGTTTATGGTTGTAACTGTGAAGTGCTGTGAAGCAATATTAAATATTGGCATCTTTTTTTGGCAGTTCAACTTTCTCAATTGCTTTGCCTCACTCTTCTACATTGCCTTTGTCCTGAGGGATATGAAGCTTTTGCGTCAGGTGAGTGTGAATAACAGAAAGGTATTGATTTTTTTTAGGTTTTAGAGGCAGTTTCCTATATTCAGGTAGTGTAATTGGCTTCCTATTATTATTTTTACAAATGAAACCTTTTAAAATTTGTCTATTTGAAGTCCAATTCTAATTTTAAAAAAAGAAAACCCATTAGCACTGTGTGTGTACTCAACTGAGGAGAAATTTGTTGAAGCGAACCAACCTGTAAAATTAAGGCTATAGGGCAGTAAAATCAAATATGAAGTTCCTGTATATTTGTATTTGTATAGGGTTGTAAAAACAATTCTAACAGCAAAATGTATATTTTGAAAACTTCTGTATGTGTGTCAGGGTGGCGGTGATTGGTATAACCCTGCATAGGTCGTACACATTTCATTTTTAAGGTTATACTTTCGAGACCAGCAGATTCTATGCAGTGCTGCATCTTTCCTGAAATGTTTAAGAAAGTCTGCATATATTTTGTTGTCTTGCCATTTCTGAGTCACACGGTAACAATGAGTCATAAACTGAGGACAGGTTACTGCTTTCTAAGTTTTCGTTTTTTATGCCTGAGTCAGCTGTCAGTGAGGGCTGCTCCTTCTGGCTTTAACAGACTGATTGTTGGTGATCCGAGGCTCAAAGCCCAGGCTTCTTAACATTTATATGAGAGCTTGGCCTCACTTTTCAGGAAATTAAAAAAATTTATATAAGAGAGAAAGTCAAGATTTTGTAGTGATGGTCCTAACAGCTTGCATCAAAATAAAATTAAATGTTATGCTCTTAAAAACTATACTATTCATATAATTGCTTTTTAAAAATTATTTTTGAAAATTGAAAAAGTTTAAAATGGTATTTTTGAAAGTGGTAAGTTGGATGCACATATCTTCTCTAGCCCCACCTGTTGTATTTGTGGGGCGTGACTTCTCATTTCTTGTACTTTGAGAGTCTCCTTTATATAACAGGGTACAGAGGGATGGGAGAGGCTTCTTTAAAAACATAGAATTTTAATACCAGCCAAGGTGGTGGGTGATGGAAACGCTGATATCCGTCGGGGGAAGCAGAAACTGACAGGGCACCCGGGGAAACCACTCTGGCAGCTTTGCCTAGAACCTTGTGACTCACCCCTCGGAGAGCAGCGGGGACGGGCAGGGCTCCCGCACCTAGGCGCCCGAGGGGCAGCGCTTGTACTGGCGAACGCTGGCAGTGATACCTGGGTTCAGCGGCAGTGCAGTGCTAAGTAAAGAAGGGATTTTTGATGACACAGGCAAGTGCTCAACGTACGTTCAAGAGCAAAGAAACAATACAAAGCTGGATGTAATAGATATTGGGTGATTCTGCTTTCATTTTTACGTATGATTGGGGACATTTAAGAGGCCAGCAGTGGTTCTCTCCTGGCCGTGGAATTATGTGTGACTGCTTTTTCATTTTCTAAGTTTTTTACAGTTTTAAGTTGTGGCCAAACTATTTTTTTCAAAATTGGCAACATCATTGAGATATTCATTTAGATATATTTTATAGCCAGATGAGATAATAAAGCACACAATTTTAAGGTAATTTGTTCTGCTGATATATAACTGCTTTCATTTTTATTATGATCTTTTTGTATTTTGATCTAAGTCTTTCCTGTGAAAACAACAATCAATTAAAAACATCATTTTAACACCTAGCTTTTCTGATGGTAGCTTTTGTAACAATAGTATCCTATTTGTTGAAAATTCCATTTTACTTGCGTAATTGTACATCTGCTATGGTTTTATTAAGCTACACTGGCGAATATATATGTGCTTCTTTTTAGAGCTTGGCCACTCTCCTGATTACCTCCCAGATCCTTAACCAAATTATGGAATCTCTTCTTCCTTACTGGCTCCAAAGGAAGTACCATGTGCAGGTGAAGAAGAAGGTGCAGGCTTTAAAGGCAGACATCGATGCTACGTTATATGAACAAGTTGTCCTGGAGAAAGAAATGGGAACGTATTTGGTAAGTTTGAATCTTGTTGAATTAAACGTTGGGTGAATGTGATTAATAGGCATCTACTGAGTTCAGCACATATGTAAACACTTGTGGTCTCAGCTGAGCGCTTCCCAGCCAGCTTCCTCACCGTGAACCACCGTAACGGTAAAAAGATGGACTATGCATGGAAGCGCTGCTGCCTTGAATCTGAAGTTCTGCCCGAAACACCAGAGGCCGAGAGTGGTGAATTATGTGACCACTATGCAGGGGGCAGTGGGAATGGCAGCTTCCGGGAGGGCCGAGCAAGGGGGGGCGGGATGGCTGCGGAGAGGCCGGGCGTGGCTTGCTTCGGGCTTGAGGAAAAGTCTGAAAGTGGGTCTTGAAAATATCAGAGGGAACACTTTGTAAAGAACGTGATTGTCTGATCACTGTGCTGTACACTTGAAACTAAAACAAAATAGTATGTAAACCATAACTGAAAAAATAAAAAACACAAATTGAAGCCCATCGCTACCAAGGAATGCCAATCTGAAGTTTCCTTTATAGGTTAAATTACGTAGTGCTATAAATGTAAAATAGTTCCTGTAAGATGGACTTTATGAGGTTCCTTTTTTTTTTTTTTTTTTAAAGGAACTCTAAGTAGATCATTGGAGGCTCATAAAACCTAACCATGTATTTAAGAAACTTTTATTGAGCTCTGACTACCTTCACTATTTCTCTATCGGGGGGTGGTGTTGGGGTCATGTTTGCTTTAAGTCATTCTTTCTTATATCCTTCACCTTTCTTCTTGGTATGGTATATTCTTCTTAGTGAAATAGAGCCTTCAGTGAAGGTCCATTGTTGTTAAACTTTGTTTATAGTCTTCTTTTTCATCACGAATGAATTCATCTCCTGATTATTGAATTTTTGTTAATGACCTTCATAATTAGTTTTTCTCACATGCTTAAGAATTTTAGTTTGTCTGCTCATCTGGAGCAGGAGTCTGTGCCCCACCCCGCAGTGTCATATGCTAAAAATGCCAGGCAGACCTCAGCCTGACTTTGGGCCACCCAGCAGCGCCTCTGAGAGACATTGTCTGCATGTTTCTGCGGAGGCTCCATCTTTTCCTTTATGAGCCAAAACAGCACAATTTTGAAAGTTGAGCACAGGCTAGGCGGGTTTCTTAAGACCAAACTGTGGTAAAAACGGTTTGATTGCTGAGATTTTTATTCTTTCCCCATTCTTGATTACTTCACTTTTCAGAGAAATAAATCAGTGCTCTATCTCTGGGAGTATCTTAAAACCACGTCTGTATGTTGCAGCACAACATAAGGAGCTGCTTTCTAGAGCCAGATGCAATCAGAGTGGTTTAGAGACTTCTCACCACTGACTCCCCAGCCGAGCATCCGCCGCCCGCTCCTAACACCTGTGTGTGGTGTTGCTCTTCGGTGAGCCTTGAACACTGCCACTGAGGCTCACCCAAGGTCCTTGGGCCCATGTGCCACCCAAATACCCAGAGAGTACTTGCTGCCATTGCCAGTGCTCTATGACTATGTTCGGATAATTTCTGTTTTAGTAAAACATAAAATAAAAAAGACTGACGAGCAGTGGAATCTGACGTACACAACAGCTCTTGGCTACGGAGGATATGCATGTGCTGGTGAAAGGCTGACTCTGAGACGCAGTAATAAGTATCCGTTTAGGAATATTGCTGTTCAATATTGCTTTACAATATTGTGACACGTATTTTTCTCGAACTGGAGTTATCGCTGCATGTGGCCAGGGCGATGCTGAAGAGGCCTGCAGATGCCCGACGCCGGCGAGGGTGGCCGTGGGCGCTGCGTGGACGGGCTCTCGTGGTCAGTCACAGCACAGCATAAAACCCTGCTCAGCTTCTCTCGCCTCAGAATCGACCTGATACTGTGAACAACAGGCTGTGAGTGAGGCATTTGAGTAGCATGTCACTGTGTCCTGTTGAGAGGTGGTGGCCTAACTCAGGTGACAACTCAATGCGTAGGCATCCTGCCTCAGTGAGGGCCCCTTCGTGCATTTACTCACGGTCACTAACTACCTCCCCTCACACTGTGTGTATCTCTTGCTCAAGTTGATGGTACATAACGACTTTTACCCCTGTCTTCCTTTGGATTAAACCTTTTAAAACACATCGGAAAGGTTTAATAACACTGTTTTCGAGGGATTTCTCCAGGCTTTTGTGGTTTCCTTATTTTCTGCTGTAGACTCCTTCCTTTGGCCTCTTTGATGTACCCACTACTTTTGCTACGGTGACGCTGGGGAGTTTCCTTGTTACTGTCAGCTTTGTTTTTCTTTACTTTTAAAAGAATGGAGACAAAATTCACATACCACAAAATTCACAGTTTTAAAATGTATAATTTAGTAGGGTTTTTTTTGTTTGTTTGTTTGTTTTTAGTAAGTTCATAAGGTTGTGCAGCTATCACCACCATGTAATTCTAGAACATTTTCATCATCCCCCAAGGAAACTCCACACTCAGAGCGGGCACACCTTTCTTCAGTCGAGCAACCACTAGTCTACAGGCTGTCTCTGTGGATTTGCCTGTGCTGTGCATTTCACACAAGTGGATCTACAACGCATGGCCTTTTGTGTCTGGGTTCTTTCACTACTCATATTTCTCTTGAGGTTCATTCATGCTGTAGTATGTATCAGTACTGTATTCCCTTCTATGGTTGAATAATAGTTCATTGTAGGGATATACTGCCTGTTTATCCATTCATCAGTTGGTAGACATTTGGATTGTTTCTGCTTTAGGATTACTATGAATAATGCTGCTATGAACATTTGTGTACAAGAGTTTATATGAACATGCATTACCACATGCTGGGTCATATGTTATATAGTTAACTTTTTGAGGAACTGTTTTCAAAAGCAGTGGTACCCATTTTGCATTTCATCCAGTCATGTATGAAGGTCGCATTTTTTCCACACCCTTACTAACACTTATTTTAAAAAAAGAAAATCCATCCTAGTACCTGTGAAGTGGTATTTCATTGTGGGTTTGATTTGCATTTTCTTAATGCCTAAATATGTTAATCATCTTTTCATTTACTTTTTGGCTATTTGTATCTCTTCTTTGGAGAAATATATATTTATATTCTTTGCCCATTGGGTTATGTCTTTTTTTCATTGAGCAGTAAGAGTTCTTCATAGATTCTGAATATAAATTTCTTATCAGATACATGATTTGCAAATATTTTCTCTCTGTGGGATATCTTCTTGCTTTCTCGATAGTATCCTCTGATGCACAACAGTTTTTAATTTTGATGAGGTCTAATTTCTCTCTTTTTTGCTACTTCTACTTTTGGTGTCGTAGCTAAGAAGTGGTTGCCTAATCCAAGGTCAGAATATTTTCTCCTCTGTTGTCTTCTCAGACTTGTATACTCTTAGCTGTTACATTTAGGTCTAAATTGAGTTAATTTTTATGGATAGTATAAGGAAGTCATCCAAATTTATTCTTTTGCATGTGGATATCTATCCAGTTGTTCTAGCACCATGTGTTAAAAAGACTCTTTGTTCTTCATTGAAGGACCTTGGCAACTTTGTCGAAAGTCATAGAAGAGCAGGTCTGTGGGTTGATTGCCAGACCCTCAGTGCTCTGCCATTGACGTATATGTGCGTCTGTCATTATGCCAGTACATCTCTGCCTTGATTATTGTAGCTTTGCAGTAGGTTTTCAAATTAAGAAGTATGATTTTTCCAACTTTGTTCTTTTTGCAAGGTTGTTCTGCCTAACCCCTTATTGGCCCCAGCTACTTCCTGTCACCTCAGGCAAGCTGATGTGAAACAATCAAGTAGCATCCCTGGGGAGAGGCCTTTAGTGCTTGGAGAGACTGGGCGAGGCTGAAAAAAGACACACTTTTGGAGTGGCTTCTAACAGGGTGCTACTGTCTGGATCAGATGCTACCTCCCTTTGGGAATGGGGCTTCCCAAGACCTCCAGCCCCGCTCTGCTCCCTCTGGTACTAGGAATGCCTGTTGTTATTTGTCATGGCTGCTGCAGAGCTGGGGAGCAGGAGGTGAAAGTGGAGTAAATTAAAACGCCATGAGGTTGAGTGTTTTTCTTTACTAAAGGCCGCCTGCATTGCTGTAGGCCTTCGGTTAACTTTCACAGCCCTGGAAACGTTGACTCTGACCAGCTGTTTGTTTTTATTGAGGGTGAGCTTTTGGAGGGCGTTCCCCTCCCGTTCTCACTGGCATCACCGCTGTCAGGCTTTTCGCAGAGGGTCAGGGCTGAGGTTCCAGGGGGGCCGGCCCGCGATGGGAGGGGCCGTCATGGGAGATTTCAACTGTGAGGCCACATCTCTTTTTTCTTGGTCAAGAGCAAACATCTTTATCTCTGCTGTTGTTTTCCTTAGAAACAGAGTCATAGCTCATCAATTTGGTACTCGGTGAGCAGCTAGGGTGACACTGATAAGAAGTCTTATTATATGATATTAAAACAATGTTTTCTTCCGGCGGTTCACCTTTTCAGGGCACCTTCGACGATTACTTGGAGCTGTTCCTGCAGTTTGGTTACGTGAGCCTTTTCTCCTGTGTTTACCCATTAGCAGCTGCCTTCGCCGTGTTAAATAACTTCACCGAGGTTAATTCTGATGCCTTAAAAATGTGCAGAGTCTTCAAACGTCCATTCTCAGAACCTTCCGCCAGTATTGGTGTGTGGCAGGTAATTCTTGGGGGAAAAAAAAATTATTCCTTTAAAAGAAATAACAAAATGAGATGTTTGATTTAAAAACAAAAAGCCCTAAGGAGAAATTTGGGAAAACTGGATTTCATCCTTGCTCTGCCACAAAAATAACTAATACACAAATGAAATCCCTACAAACCCTGCAGACTTCAAAAGAACAAGGGAACATTATGAACACCCTGCAGACATAAATTTGACAAATTGGATGAAATAGACGAGTTCCTTCAAAAACACAAACTACCACAACTCACCCAATGTGAAGTAGATAATGGAGTAGATCCACAACTATAAGGAAATTGAATTTGCAATTATTGCAGTCCCCAAAAGAGAAATTTGTCCTGACCCAAATGGTTTCACTGGTGAATTCAAACATTCAAAGAAGAACTAACCCCAATTTTACGTAATTTCTTCCAGAAATAGAAGAGGAGGGAATATTTTCCAAAGCATTTGATGGAGCTAGTATCAGTGAGATGGCAAAACAAGACAGAGTGCAAAAAAAAAAAAAAAAAAAAAAATGCAACAAATCAGTCAGTATCCCTTGTGAATTAATACACAAAACACCTTAATAAAACATTGGGCCAGGTATAAAGAAAGGAAGGATTGCAAAGTATTATGAAGAATCTTTTGGGGAAAAATGGAAATGTTCTGTATGTTACTGGGGCATTTGTGGTGATGGTTTTACAGGTGACTCTATCGAAACTTAGGAAGTGTATATACCTTAAATGAGGGCAGCTTATTCTATGTAAATTATAACTCAATGGAGGGGATATGTAAAAAACCTAAAGCTTAGTTAGAAAGGAAATTGGGGACAACTGTAATAGAATAACAATTAAAAAAATGTATTCAAAATGCAGGAAGCCAGGCACTTTATATGCTATTGATAGAAGGGTGAACTGGTCAACCCCGTGGAGCGCTCCTTGGTGTTCTATCAAAATTACGAATGTGTGGCACCTTCAGGAATTCCACCTTCAGGAATTTGTGGTACTTCCACTTGCTAAATGATGTATTTACAAAGTTACTAATTATTGCATTACTTGTAATAGCAACTAATGCCCACTACTAAGGAAATGGTTAAATAAGTTGTGGTACACCCATACAGTGAAATACTGTATTTTGTGTGTATAATGCATACCCACATTTTGTGTGCGTTATACACAGGAAAATACAGGTACTTAAGCAGTTGTGACAAAGAATGAGAGAGGTCTTTGAGTACTGACACAGAATACCCTCCAAGACATTTTAAGGGACAAAAACAAGGGGTCTGATGATATATATTACTATGCTGAGAAGAGAGTAAGAAAGCATATACTCAAGTTTGCCTGTATTTGCAAACAAAGAGTCTAGAAAGTTACGTAAGAATTTGATAACAGTGATTATCCTGTAGGGAGAACAGGAGCTGGCAGGGAGGAGAGAGGGGAACAAGGAGACTCTTCACTATACACTGAATAAAGTTTGATTTTTGAACTATGGGAATATAATTATAAAAATATAAAGTGAATTTTTAAGCTAGCTAAGGAGAAGGTAAAGAAAGTCCTGAGTACATTTGCTGTAAAGAAAACTATGAAAAAAAACCTAAAAACCAGATTATACAAAGGATTCCTAAAATAGAAATACGATGGTAGAAATTCTCCATGGGACAAGATTTTATTAAGTTTAGATCTAATCATGTTTTGTCTTCTTTTAAAATGTCTATTTCCAATTGCAATTACAGTTCTTACGTTAGCGGTTAAGTTATTAAGTAGTGATCGCCAAGTGCCGTACAGGGAGAAGGGGCGGGCGGAAGGGAAGGGCGGGGCAATGGCCGGGGCTGCCGCAGTCTGTGTCAGTTCTGGGCACCAGGCTCCTCCTCCGTGGGACACGGCGCCTGGAGCCTGTGTGGTGGGGTCTCCGTGGGGCCTGGCACCTGTATTTTTCTGAAGTTCCATGTGTGACTTGGTAAGTGCCACAGGAAAGGGGGCATTAACTTGTGCCTCGGGTGTAGCTGAGCCAGGTGTGGTATGTGATCTGTCCGAGTAGGACAATTTCACAAAATAAATTCTATTTAAAAGCACACCTGGCTGTGTAGGAATGTGAAACGTTTTCTCCGGTGGCCCTACTTCAGCGTCCCATTAGGTGTGAGCGCAGTGCCTTTAGCAGCATGGTCTTCTGGGATGTGTTCCAAATTTGGGTCCCTGGCTACCTCCAGTTGGAAAGGAGGAACATGTTGCTTTTGGAATATTTAAGCCAAAAGTATCTAAAATACCTTCTAACAATATGGCTATTTTTTTAAAGCCAGAGAAAATGTAGCATTATAGAGAAAAAGTTTAAAATGTACTTGGCATGTTTAGAACATGTTTTTGGTAACACAAAAAAGGATGAGGAAATACGGATGTGGTCACTGCAGCTTTTAACTTCACATTCTTTTTTCTTTCAGTTGGCTTTTGAAACAATGAGTGTCATATCTGTGGTCACTAACTGTGCTCTGATTGGAATGTCCCCGCAAGTGAACGCACTCTTTCCGGAGTCAAAAGCGGACCTCATTTTGATTGTAGTAGCCGTGGAGGTAAGTGAACGTTTAAGTCTGTTTCACCGGGTTCTGCATCAGAGGCCCCTGTCACTGAAGCCGCGATATGTCTGGCTGGCAGTGTAGCAACGTGCGTCCCCCGGTAAGAAAGGGAAGCAGTGCGGGCAGCCGGACGACGTGAGTTGGAGGCTGTGCTTTCCTGGCTCTTGCCTGCGGCCGAACCACAGCCGCCGTGGTGCAGACAGGGAGGCGACGTGGCTGCGGTGCTGGCCTGGTCGGTGTGAGCAGGCACATCCTATCTGAAAAATGGAGTTCTGTAGGCTTAATACGCTTTTCTTTTTTAGTCTGTTCTCGGGATCTGTCACTTCTACTTTCTCAAACAAATAAAGTCTAAGAAAATGCTTTTTGAGAATGATTTGTTTTAAGTCTCATTTGCAACAGGGGTGGAATGCATTGTGAAACGTTCTAAAACTCCAGAGTGTGCTGTAGTGAGGAGGAGGACACATGATGTCACACGCACCGTACAAGCTGGCTGTCCCTGTACTTTTAGGTTCATCTTATTATGTTTCTGAATAAGGATTGCTGTCAACTGACAAAATTTAGCAGTTGCCAATCACAAACAAGAATTTGCAGGGAATTTTTTTGTTGCTAGTAATTTTAGTGGTCAGGAATATTGTGACCTTTTATTTTTAGATATTTAAAAAATAGAACAGCTGTGAAAATTTTAAAGCAAAAGTTAGCAGGAACGTAAAGCGGTGACTCATGTAGCTAAGGCCTCAGGACTTAAGGCTGACCAGAAAAAAAAAATGAAATCCTGAACTTGTGCACTTCTTGTAGTGGCTAAAGAAATACAGCCTGCATTGCTCTTTTAGCGTATCCCATAGGAACCTGTGTTCATGATGGATGCTGTATGTGGAATGTGCAGTTTGGAGACTGATTTTAGATGGCAGTGTGTAGGAGAGGAGAGAGGATGGCTTTGGCAGATATAAGTAGGCCTGTTCTGAATTTGTGAGTTGACTGGGATTTTGGAGAGCTATTTGTGAGGCTGACTTACTACCTGTGGAAGTGGGAGATCAAAACAGAGAGGCCCTTAAGACAGCGGATGGCCGGCTGGCCATGTTCACCGTGTGCCTTCTGAGTTTGGCCCTTAACCTTCCAGACCGAGGAACCGGTCTTCGCCAGTAGTACATCCAGAGCTAACTAGGCTTTTGGGAGTGACTTGCTTAAAACTAATGAGACTCACAAGGGATTGATGAGAGGCCCAGGCAGCTGACTTCCTAGAAGACACTTTTCCAATGACCGTAACAATGGGTATTAAAGTGTAAGTAGAATTGGGTATTAGAAGATTGCCTGGTAAATTGAGAACCTGATCAAGAGGAGTGTAATAGTCCTGAAAGGCACAAAAACCTGAAAGTGCCCCCTGCAATCCCCAAACAGAGCCCAGTTGTAGCCGAGCCTGCTGTGCACCTCCGGCCGCTGAGCAGTGCTGCGTGAGTTCAGAGCTGCCCGAGCCTTGATGTTGCCTTCACTTTCTCCAGATGTCCGGCGGGCCCAGTCTTCCTGCGTATTCCCATTGATTAGCCTACTGCTTCTGTTGTATTGGTGATATCTTACTTAATCAGGTAGTCAGCGCCTGGCTCTTCCCATTTACTTGGGAGATTTCTTGGCCTACTGGGTTGTTCTGCAGAAGGTTGTCCTCGAGTGTTGCAGACTGACTCTTCTAGTCTGATCATTCATTCATAACGTGGCTGCTTTAAAATCCTCCTCAGATGCTTCCAGCATCTGATTTATCTCAGTGCTGTTGTCTGTTGATTGTATCTTCTCAGTCAAGTTGGGATTTTCCTGGTGGTTGTTACGAAAGCTTGCATTGAAAGGCGAATACCTCTGGTATTGTGTATGCTACAAGGCTACTCTGGATCTTATCTAAATCCTGGGTTGTAGCTGCCTGCTCTGACTCCGCTCTGGTGTGAGGGTAAGGGGTGGGGCATGTCACCCTGTTACTGTCAGCTGGTGGCGGAAGTCCAGCCTTCCCGCTCGCTCGGATCCCATTGTCACCTGAGGGGACTCCTCCTTACTGCTGGACAGGGAGGGGAGTTCTGGCTTTCACTGATACCTCCTGGCAGGGGGACCGTAACCTCATCCCTGCTCCCCACCTGGCCTTCACAGACGCGGGAAGGCGGGGCGGCCTCCCTACCGCTGGGTGGGAGTGCCAGTCCTCGCTGGCCGCTGGACTGCTCCTGACGGCCCCAGTGGGGAGCAGCAGGGGGGCCTCCTTGTTGCCAGCGAGGGTGGAAGTCCCAGTTCTCCATGTGGTTTCCACCGACAAGGTAGGTGTGTTTGTCACCATTCAGCGAGGGTGGAACACTGGGCTCCCTGCGTGGCCTTCCCCGCTGAGGCGAGGCCCCGTGGACAGGCCAGCCAGGGCAGAGCCCAGGCCCCCCAGGAACTCGCTGGCCTGCAGGTGGGCGGCTCTTGTCTGAAGTTTCCTATCCAGCCAGACGGCCCCTTCCCAGTCCTTTGGCTGGAGAGAGCAGACTTTTCTTGCCTGTTGTGGTCCCCATCGTCGTTTCTGGCATTCTAGCTTCCTGAGCACTTAGTCGTGTATGTATCAGGTGAAGAGGGAGCCCTGGGCACTCGCTGCCACGTTGTTCGTCTCGTCCTGGGGTCCCTAGTCCACCTGCCTTCTTTCTACCTTCCAGAGTCTTCTTACGTTTATTCTGTACGTAATGTGTGTGGTTTTTAGTTGCGCTTAGCGGGGGTAATAGTAAAAGTACTTCCTTTCCTTTCAAAAGCAGAAGTCCTCGCTTTCTCGTTTACTAATCTTTTCTGTGAGCTTTACGAAGCCTGGCATGTGTCTCCTCCGTAACGTGTATTCTACTCACAAGCCTTGCACTTACTCGTAGGTTTACTTATGTAGTAACGTCTGTCCTGTGCACTGTCAGCTTCAGGAGAGCCGGACGACGTCTGCTTCTCTATCTCAGTAAACAAGGCTGCTCCCTAAAATTGTGACTAAGTCTTGGTAGATGTGCCGTTCAGTGGTCGCATGAATTTTGAAGTAATAAATTAAGCTATTAACAAGAAAATGGGCACTTCAGTATTTTAATTTTAGAAGGAAAGGTGGATGTTATTCCTTTTTGATAAATTCACATTCGGTGTTAATTGTCTGAGTATATTTGTTAGTTTATAACCTTTTCCGAGCTCTGCTTAAAGAACACAAAGTGGCAGGGACTAACATTTTCATTCCTTAATTAAGTTACACTCAGTGCATCATGAAATCAGGTGCTGAGGAAAGACAAGCTGTCTTTTTATTTTTTCCCTCAAGAGGTCTACTTCTAAATGTAGTTGAGAAGATGCATATATTTAACACATGCGCGCACACACCCACATACATGTCCGGGTCAGTGCATGTACTCAGGATGCAACTGGGCAGTAAAAGTGATGCGGCACGGGTGTGAGGTGGCATCTCCTGAAGTTTTGATTTCCATTTCCCTGACGATCAAGGTGTCTATCGGGCACCTTTACATGTGCTTAGTGGCCATTTGTAAATACTGAAATGTCTATTCAAATCCTTTGTCCATTTTTAAATCACATTGTTTATTTTTTTAGTTGGTGAGTTGTAGGAGTTCTTTGTATATCCTAAATGTTAACCCCTTATTTATGATTTGCAAACATGTGCTTCTAATCTGTGCATTGCCTTTCCCTCTATTGATACTATCGTTTGATGCACAAAAGTCCAGCTCCTCTATTTTTTTTTTTTTTTGCCTTTGCTTTTAGTTTATATCTAGGAAATCGTTGCCAAATCTAGTGTAACAGAATTTTGTCCTGTATTTCCTTCTAGCTTTATAATTCTAGGTTTTAACTCTAGATCTTTGATCCATTATGAGTTAAATTTTGTATGTGATGTATGGTGATTCATTCTTTTGCATGTAGATACCTGGTTTTCCCAACATCATTTGTTGAAAAGACAGTCCTTTCCCTAGTAAGTGGCCTTGGCACCCTTGTCAAAATCATTTGACCATGTATGTGAGGGTTTATTTCTGGGCTCTTTATTCCATTGGTCTATATGTGTATATTTTTCTTTTTAACTACTTTATTGATGTATGATTGACATAAAGAAAGCTGTACCTATTTAGTGTATACCACTTGATGAGTTGGAGATAACTAATATCTATCTTTTTGCCAGTACCACACTGCTTTGATTACTGTAGCTTTGTAGTAAGTTTTGAAATCAGGAAGTGTGAGACCCCCAACTTTGTTATTTTTTTTCAAGAATGTTTTGGCTATTTTGATTGTGTGTTTGTAGTAACTATAGCTATTTACTTTCTGATTTAAAAAAACTGTTCATCAAAAGTTGGGTTATATTGGCACAGATTGGTATTAGAAATAAGTCGTCTCTTTCTACCACATTAAAGTATTTAAAGGTTTGTTTTTACTTTATTGACTTTCATACATTTGAGAGGACCCTACCTTCATTTTCTAAGTTGAAAATTTTCTGTGTCAGAACAAAATCAAGCTCAGAGAAGGTGTTAGAACTAACCAAAAAATTGGTAAGTTTGCTAATTTTATTCTAGTGTTGCGGAGACCTTTGCTGAGTGCCATCTGGTCTTGTAACGAATCCAAAAAGTAGAAAGTTTACAAATAAATTTGAAAATATGTTTTTTAATTGCCATATAAGTTTGTAAAATCACACTGAAATTCTAACTCAGAAACGTTACAGAAAAGTCTCAGAATCATCAGTGGATCAAATTAGCATGTTTCTGTTTATAAGATTTTTCTCTTTGACCTGCCATGCCTTTTCAAATTGGGGAGTAAAATCTTAAAATTATATTTTATTCCCTATTTTTTCCTGCGGTCTAGAGAAAATGTTAGTTTATTGAGTTAAAAAATGTTTTGTTAGTAGCATATGAAATGAGTAGCATTTGTACTTTCCTGTGTTCATTTATGGCTCCCAAAAGAGTAGAAATTTCACTAGTTCAAAAATCCATAATAGATAAGTCATAGATATAAAGTAAATGCTTATATAAATTTTTAACATCTTG